TAAAGGCCATGTAACAATTTTCCCTGACACTCTCGTAATTTTTCTTGGCACTACCGTAATTTTCCCCGGTGTTTCTCGGTTCTCCCTGATTGTGACAACGCTGTGAATCTTTCCTCAACTCTTGATAGAGAAAAGCAAATTTTCAGACGTTTAATGGTTTGACCTGAAATACGTATCATACCAGATTTCCATACGCACATTCAAGGATCTTCTGAGAACTTTCAAAGATATACAGAAAATCCCTGAATGCCTTTAAATTTGCCTCAAAAGTGTAAGTTTCCTCTTCCTATACTTTATTCTCTGGTACCTTTTGGAGAAGAGGCAAAAGATCATGCCAACTGACGACGCTTTTGGACTTTTGGAAAGTCTCAAAAGCGAAAGGGAAAAATATAGATCAGCGGTGAAATCATCGTGAAAAACTTGGAAAATTTAAAGAGGTCATAGGTGAAATCATCGTGAAAAATTTGGAAAATTTAAAGAGGTCATAGGTGAAATCATCGTGAAAAAATTGGAAAATTTAAGGACACTCAAAGACATAGGGGTATTCCCTATTTAAGGGGCTTAGGAATCGAAAAAAATTCAAATAATTTTTCATGGCGTCATAACATCCTCAACACTAAGCCCTCTAAAGTCATGCGACAAACAAAATCCCCTATACGTTCGGAGCGGTTACATGATTCACGGTGAAAAATTTTCTGCGAGTCGTTTTCCTTCATATCATGCTGAGTGCACTCTGAGCAGTGGTGTCAAAAACCCCAAGAGAATAGTTCATTGAATCATGTTTTTTCGGTATTCCCCCGGTTCCGCTGTCTGTTCGAACGGATTTTCATCATTCCGCTTCTTGTTACTGACTTTTCGATTTCCATCTACTGATCCACCTGCCTGAACATAATCCAGACTTGCGGACTCTTTGAAGTTGGGACGGACAAAATCGCGTTACAGCATCGACGCGATCATTTGCACGTGAACCTGATTCATTCATTTAAATTTTGAGTCATGCCTCTCACCAATGTCGCGTGAATTTCTAAACTAGTTCTAGCGTGGAACTAGTTATTATTTCCTTGGTCTGAATAGATCCGCTGACGAACGTCATCGATGATCAGAAACGACGACTATTGCCGTGCTAAGGAAAAACGCCGTATGAGCATTCAAATGTTGCCAAATTGCTTCTTAGAAATATTCATTTTTATAGAACTTTATAAATATTTGGCCTTAAATTTTAGGACACTTTAAATCAAATTACAAACAAAATTCTCTAAAAAATCGGAAGAAAAACATTGACACATTTTTCGGAAAATTCGCGATTTGTCAGAGGAGATTTGGCAATGCCTGGAGGCTCATCAGGCATTCTTCCTTAGCCTTATCACGGTAGAATAACCGAATTTAACCGATCCTAAAATGCATTCAGCTTCAAGCAAGGAACCGAAAACCGCAGCTGAACAAGTGTGGACATCATTGAAAAAAAGAGCTGACCAGAAAAAGTCAATTGACAGAACATGTTCATTAGTAAACTCAACACCATAATTGATCTGAAGAGGAAATGCACGTGCTGAAATTGTTTAATTCTTAATTTGGGCGTTTCGGGAAGGGAAAGGAGGGCAGAAAACTAGGGCAAACAAGTAAACCTTTCGAATAAGCTACATAAAAAGCAATGGATCGACTCCCGGAGAACAAAAATCGAAAATATCGATCCTGATAAATGCGGATGCAAACTCTCTCGCCTGGCGGACAAAAAATGGAAGAAACACCTGACACTGCCATTCCTTTATCAAACATTCTGGATACGTTTTGGCTTTGTTCGAGCACTGTGAAGTCGGTTATCAATATTTCCATTCAACTCGAGTCCTCAAACAATGGCTGAACGATAAAAATGCTGATTCTGATCAGATTGAGCTGATCTTTAATACGACTCCGTTAATACAAGATACTCCAGAGAGCTGCCGTTAATTCAACTTCAAGAGACAGCATCAATATTCAAAGGAGCCACGGGCGGACTTTGCAAGTTGGCAACATTGGACTTCGCCTATTTAAATGTATGCAAAATAATCGATACGATATCAGAATCGCTGATTTATAACGTAATTAAAAAGAGGAAAACAGCTGTGTTTTCAATTTGCGAGAAGGGCCAATGAAAGGCGCCGATCAACGCGAATCCAATAATCCTAACACTAGAGCTCTGAGATTATACTATAAGTAAGGGCATTTCCGCGTTCCAGGGAGGGAAAAGCAATTTTTTCGCACTGATTTCTTTGTGAAAAACAAACGCAAGACTAGAGAGAGGGTTTCGAGGTGTATTTTTCCAATAAAAATCATACCTTTCTTACAATTGATAAGCGGTCATCATAGATTATGAGTGATCTGTACTCGGCAATGCTTAAATCTTGGTTACTTACGAACTGTACGTTCTTAAAAACGGCTGTTTCACGTACTGTACATTGAAAATATTCGGAAAAATTGAAATTTTATCATCAATGAGAATTTTAATTTCTCTCCTTTCAATTGAAAAAAGAACCTTTTATTTGATTCGAAAACATATTATCCAACTCAAACTAGTTCCCTTTTGAATAGGAAAAGTTGTTCTTTTAATCGAAAAAAATTGTTGATAAAAGTTCAAAACAAGTAGGTATTTTTAACAATTTTTTTTCGGTCTGACAATGAGCTAGGTCGGCCGATTTTTTCGGACAGAGACCTGTAGGGCACACATGATGCTTCACCTCATGGTGAGGATTAAATTTTGCAATGGGAACTACCATGTTTGACTCGTCTACGAAAGCACCTATCTGCACTCGGAAACTAATGGCACACAAGTTGCTTACAAGCGAGCCGAAAATGGTAGTTCCTTACTGCGAAATGTAGTTCAATTTATAATAGAGAGATACTACGCCAGCTAATTAAACGATTAAAACAAATGGTTCCAGCCCGACTGAAAATGAAAACATGTTCCGAGTTAAAGGCACAGCGAGCGTATTATTCCCCGGTCCCTGGAAGGCCCCTGTTCTAAAAATGGAAATAGATTCCCAGAGCCAAAGGGCGTTCGAATTAAAGGCCTGGTGCAGCCGCCGCAACCATACTTATTTATGTGCGAGCACGCCCATTTCTGCAAACTTCCAATCGACAACTTTTCCCTCTGGACGAGAGGGGCAAGGAGGGAGGAGAGATGAGGTCCCTTGGCAGCATCCTCCGAGTTGAACATCGTCCGACAGAGTGCAGAATTCCTCCATAATCGATTTATTCTCGCGCGCACCGATTGAAAGAACAATTTACGGTTATGATAATCAAAGTAGTGGTGTTCTGTAGGCTCTTTGAAATAAATGATACAGCCACACCGAATAATATGTAGCGGCACTGTTACCAATAAGTGATAATGTTAAAATTACTTAGGTGGGTTTGTTGCTTGATGGTAAGAATAAAAGCACTGTCGGTTACACTGTTAGAAATTGGCTATTTGCCCTGAGAGCAAATAGAAAAAAGTCTTGAGTTGACAACGGAAAATGTAATATGCGAGAGACGAGACGGGAAAAAATGTACAATATGAAAGTGCTGGATGAGCTGATATTAGTGGTGGACGCTTTTTACGCGCTTTTTGTTCTGATGCGGAAATTTCAGGAAGATTTGATGGTAAGAAAAATTATCGCCTTGCGACTTCATATAGGGCGGCATTTCTCAAGCATGTGTATTTTAACAAATTGAGTCATTCTGTCGTAACCTGCCTAGCAATTGTTCAGTATGTGAATTCTCTTTCACCGACATGGGGGCTGGTTATACGAACAAAAATCTCTTGTGCAAGTCAAACTTTTAACTCTATTTGGGAAATGTTAAGGCTTGTTTGCTGCATTTTATTGTCCAGGCGGCATTTTCGATTCTTGTGAGACATTTTTGACCTATGAGTCTCGTCCTCAGGTTAAAATTCAACGGGTACCCAGAGAAAAGTTCTGCCTTCCCTCTAAAATTTTAGGAGTCACAAAGAGGGAAAAGTCCAATTTAAAGGAGCCAAAAAAACGTGATGCACATACGCATCATGCGCTGCACCTGCTTCGCGATTACGAATTTAAAAAAATCGAATGGGTACGTTAACTTATTTAGGCACTGTGGCCCAGCCTTCCCAATTTTTTGGCGCCAAAGCCATCACTGGAAAAAAAAATACATTGGATCTAGAGTCCAGACTCTTAAAAACATCGACAAGAAAAAATACTCTTGATTCAATCAGATTTCAGGAACCCAGCCTCTTAATTTGAACGGATTTCCTTTTGATTTAAGCTTGAATCTGATTGAATCAAGAGTATTTTTTCTTGTCAATGTTTTCAAGAGTCTGGACTCTAGATCCAATGTATTTTTTTTTCCCCCAGTGCGATTTTTAGGCGCATGTGGCGCACGGGAAGGGAGGCAGAACACAACCCGGAGAGGATGAATTTGACCGCGTTTTACGCGGGAACGTCTGTGCAGATTCCTTTGAAAATTTTAGGGAATTTGCTTTGTATTATGGAGAAAATTCACTGAAATTTGCAAAAGAATCCGCACAACCGTTTTCATGTAAAAAATTAAATTGCTCGATTAAATTTGGGAATAGGTGATGTGGCTTGGTTCCTTTCTGTTTAACGCAGCCCATTTGTCATTACCTTGGCGAAAAAACGTGATTTTATAACATTGTTGCCGAATTTTCTCCAAATTGTAATTTAATCGGATTACCTTCGAGCATTTTTAACTGAAAATTTCACCAATATTTCCTCCGATCGCATGCAAAAATCAGACCAATTTCGGGGAAAAAATTGCACAGGTACATTCTTGTAAAAATTCGAGTTGCTGGAGTCACTTTTGCAACCTTGGAATGAAGATACGCTCCTTCGTCCGGGAAAAGACGAAATCCGTAACAGGAGGTAATCGAACTGGGCCGGAATGGTTTCCATTCATAAATAAGATCCATCAAATTTCAGACACCTGCAATTTGCGATACTTGCGAACACCTGATAGGAAAGAACGAGGAGATTGATAAAGCTACTCACTGGTCGAATAGATAAATACAGGAGCTAGTTGATTCGGTACTAAGTTTGCGCTTGTTGCGGGCCCAGACGGCCCGTTGTTTCTGTAACTGTTTCTCGACTTTTTTCGACTTGGAATGTTGCCTGAGGAGGGTTTCCCACTGGCCACTACTAGTACTAGTATCACTAAGACTCGCCTCGCTGGCGGCGGCCTCGCTCTTGGCGGAGCGGGCGTCGGCGTCACTTTGCTCCCCCCGATCACTGCACTCGAAATCCTCGAGGTTCCACGAGTCGGAATCGTCGTTGCCGCTCTCCCATCGGTCCTCCTCCGACAGCTCCGAGCCGCAGCTCGGCACCGACCGCAGGGACAAGGGACACGCACTCTCACTCGCCTCCAGGGACTCCGGCACCGCACTATCACAGTCACTCGCGTTGTGCAACTTCCCGTCCTGCAGGATCACCTGGTTCGTCGCGATGAGCTTCACTAGTTCCGTCACGAAGTCCCAGTGGGCTTTGGTCAAGGCTCCCGAGAGCTTGATCGACTCCAGCTTCAGCGGGATCCACCCGTCGTCGGAGCGGCACCACACCAGGGCCCCTGAGACCCCCATCGCGAGAGAGAACTGATCCACCTGCGCGAGAAACACGACCGTTCGCCGTCGACGAGAACACTCCCGCTTCGCTACCTTAACAATTCACCCCTACGTTCCTTCCAAACTACGCACAATTGTAATATCCTTCGGGTGAATTTTTCAACCCTCCGCACAAGTGACAAGTGAAGTTACGAGAGGGTATTCCGAGCGGACGAGCGTGGGCACGGGTGATTAGCGCGAGTATCTGAGCGCGACTGGCGGAGTCGGAACGAAGCGGCTTGGTCAGCGCGCGGTGCTGCGAGCCGAGTTCGTGGGGGGGAGGCGACTCACTTTCCTTGATTCTTCTCACAATCGGCGTGCATTCCTCGGACGCGCCGAAACAACGGCTCCTCGCGTCGGCATGCAAATCCGCGATTCGCAAATTTAACCGTGACGTCACTGAAGGGATTCTCCGTCAAATCGAGCAGGATCCGAACAATGTAATATATTTCAATGCTACCGATTCGAGTAAATCGATATATATCGCTTATCTCGGTCTTAACACTGATAGCGTCTTCTGGGATTTTTCATCTCGGGGTATTTTTTTTGCGATTGGCGATTTTGACGAATTAAAACGAGCTCCGAGACCCGCGAAAATCTCCAAGTTAAAGTAATGTTCGTCAGGTATCCAAAATGTATTTATTTTCATGCGATGCCTGACAAGGTTGATAAGATATCAATACCTTGAAAAACTGGATAAAAGCTGTTGAAAATTAAAAAAAAAATTAATATTACTTTTTTCATAAGGTGGTAGGTGGTTCCGCAGCACTTCCCATAGCGCTTCGGTGGTCTATCAATCAGTAAATTTAATGATTTTTTAATATACGCATATCACGCTGGACATCAACTGTTTTGTCCACAAGATTTGACCAAAAAACAGGTTGAAATAACTCTGAAAGTTCACTTTCAGTGAGTGCTTGAAATCTGTTCGTCTTTCAATAAGCGCTTTTTACTCTGAACTTATACTTTCGAAGTTATTTCTGCGTCTTTCTCGGTCAAATCTTCGGTACAAACATTTGAAATGTACTACAACGTAAGTGACGTTTGGGAATTTTTGACAGTGTGTCTCAAAATCAAGAAAATATCACTTGATCGATCGACCATCGGCTCGTTAGAACTAAAACTTATAATTTTCTTGCCAAAATATAATATTTCATTAGGCATGATTTCTCGATCGAATCGTTATTTTCCATTCATGAATATTGCTACTGGCTTAATTCAGTCTAGTGGTGGCATTGATTTGAGGCTGGAAAAATTCTTCCTTCCCGGAGAGAAGTGGAAAAAAATTCGAAGCGAAGAGAGCGGTAAACAAAATTCCTGGTCAATACCGGAATATAATACACGCTTTATCAATTATTGAGATATCGATGAAGAGTTTGGGAACGGTTTGACAGGAAAGTTACCGGTTCGGGAGGTAAATACCGGTTCGCGAGGTAATTACATTTAAGAGAGGAGGAAGAAACTAATTAAAAGTGGGCAGTGGCGTGGCGTACTTTGCGATGTATCGATTCATCTGCCATTTAAACCTATGAAAAAAGATCGCTAGACAGGGTGTTCGCAACGAATACCTTAATAATCGATTCTTTACCATAGCTTCAAATGGGAAAAAATCGATAGTCGATCATTCACGCCTCGCCACTGAATGTGGGTCAAACACCTAAGAGGAAGATCTTCAAAGGCATCAGCAGCAAGGAAAATTCCGATGGGGAGTAAGGCGTTGGCTAAAAAAAAAATAATAACATAAAAAAAACAAGTGAAGTACTGAGTAAACGAGAGTAAATTGTAGGTGACAAGTCGTTTACTTAATCCCGTTCATAATCTCCTCATTCAAGTGAACGAAAAAAAGGTATTGCTCTTCAGTAATTAGAACACTGGTAAAGGCACCGCCCAAAAGCTAATTGCCAGACTCATTAACGCCAGGATTATCGATCAAAGCATTGAAATCATTCACTTTTGTTAAGATTTTTCTAGCTTCCTCCTAAACTAAACTTGCTAGCAAGAAGAAAAAAAAGGCGAAAGATCGTGTCGATTTTCTCGTAGATTTTTCTTGCATTTCCGGCTTTTCTTCGGATCTGAAACCGATTAAAAATTGAAAATAAAAATACTGACATCACAAGCCAGTTCCTAAATTTCTCATTTTTCCCGAGTAGAGTTAGAAAAGTAAATTACCAACCCCACTTATTTTTCTAAACAAAAGCTGGCCTCGAAAATTTTTCCAACGTTGCATGGTCTTCCAGAACTTTCAGGTTATCAACCAGTGGCAAATTTTGCAAGTTGGCGACACTGTTTCTTCATCATTTAAATCCATCAAAAATATCGATTGTAGGTGAGGCAAGCTGCTCCACCAAGAATCGATTGTTCTACGTACATTTAAATGGAGGAAAAACAGCGTTGCCAACTTTCAAGAATCGCCACTGTTCCCAACAGTTCGAATACATCTCACGAGTCGTTGCTTACGAGGCATGGAGGTCGTTGGAAATTTCTTCCAGTGAGTATCTTCCTGGAATACTGAGACAATTGCGCTCTCCTCTAAAGACAGTATTTTCTGGGGTTTTTTGTCCCCTACGGAAGAGAGCGCTTTTGGCCGACGACTGTTGAACGAGGTACGAGATATGAGATCCTCCTCGGTCGAACGACCTTGAACTAGAATCGCCGTTTTTTATGCCTTCACTTAGCAATTTGTCTCGATGCTCAGAAAATATGACGGGGAACCAGGAGACCGGATTTCCCCTGGCCGGCCCAATTACGCAATCGCTACGTGGAATTCGTTCGGCGAGAAATCTCCCCGAGCACGGAGGCTGTACATCTCCGTTTCTCAAAAGTAATTTACATAATTGTGACGAAAAAATGGGTACGATGTTTATTTATAGAGGCTTAAGCACAGGAGCGCGGCCAAAAAATCCTAAAATAGCTTTATTCAAACGTTCGATCAGGTCGCGAGGAAGAACGAAAGGGAGGAGGGGTAAAGTGCATGGCAGATGTCGCGAAAGGTTTGCATACTGCAACGAGAATCCTGATTGAAAGATTACGTCCGTTCGATTACGTGTCGTGGGGCCGTTAAAACATGCGCTTTCCTTCATCATCAGAAATGCAAGGTTACTTCTCTCAGCTTGCATTTGGACGCCGGCTATATACCGAACTAATTTTAATGTCAATCGTACAGCCGTTAGTTTTACCATTTAATGGAGGTAGGTGACAAAATTTTCAAAGCTCCACTTGTTTCTGTGTGACGAAACTAGAGAAAAAACTGGAGCAAATCGAGAAAATCCAGCGACGGTATCTGAACTTTCGAGTGCGGTCGCAGCGCCCGATTTTCGAGAGTCAATCGTGTTTTGAAACAGCTTCGTTGCCCCGTGGGTGTTTTAGACATAATCGTGGCAGATTGATACATTTCACCGACGTACTGATGAGAAATAAAACGATATTTAATAATGCGACCGTCATTCGAGGTGTCATTAGAAAATACCGAATAAAGAGAGTATTTTTCGGTGTGATCAGAAAATGAGCCACGACCACACGAATCACACGATTTTATAACTAAGTAAGCACCTAAGTAAAATCTGACGCCTGGATTTTTCGATGCAAGATTTTTATCGCGGCACGAGAGAGCTTTGAATGTTCTGCCCTGATCAGAATGTTTCTCCACCCTTAACCCGGGTCTGAGAAAGTCTTCCAGTTCTAATGCCTCGAGTAAAAGAGAGGGAGGAGAAATTAAGAAGAAGAAAAAAGAAAGAAAAGAAGAAAAAAAGAAGAGAAGGAGGAAGAGAGAACGTCGAGAGAGACGAAAATAGGTACCGTATCGAACCAAAATCAGTGGAGAAATAAAACCTGGTTTCAGAAGGATAAAATTAAAGCTGAGAGAGAAAGGAAGAAACTATACGCTTCGTTCTCAACATGACATACAAAAGACATGAGAAACAGTTACGCGGTGAATGATGCATCTAAAAAGCCTGGAGGCCATTCGGCAGAAGTGCAATGGGGGCAACAGAGCTGGTAAAACGGTATCTTTTGTTTCGAGTTAAGACCCAGACATACTCTGCTGGGAAATTTTTTTCGAAGAAACTTTGTGCAGGTAAAATTCGTTGTTGTTACAAGGGAGCACGATCTTTGATTGCGTTCGAATAAAAATACTGTCTTCGAACAAAATAGCCGGTTAGGGGGCCAGTGAGGAAGCCTGCCCCCTCCTCTCTTGAAATAGGATCGTTTGTTTTCATCCCCTAAAAAATTTGAACTTCGAATAAAACGATAAATTTCTTTGCTACGCAGTGCAAAATTCGAAGAAAGTAGAAAAAAAAAACTTTAACATAATCGCCAGAATCCACAAAAAAGTGATTTGCGTATATACGTATACTGCGAGAAAAAATAGCGCAACCAATCAGTGATCTCAATGGTATATAACCACTGAGTTCGCAACGCGCTGCTTGGTTGAGTTCGCGATTATCAGGGATGTCATACTTTTCTACACGTTCGTTAAAGTCTCCGAGGACATTGACTGTTATTGACGTGCTCCAGTTTGTGGGCTTCTCGCAATGCTCCAGGGCCTTTGGATCCCAAATGGACAGGTTAAATTTCCCAAAAACCGTCGTTTCTCATGATCCC